CTTAAAGTTACTCTGATCATCCTTCAGCTTTACAATTTCCACAGAGCTCCCACTGTACAATCAAAGCTAATGCTAATGTTAGCCACATTAGCCATTAACAACACGCTACCACCAAGAATTCTTCTATTGTTGTGAGGACGCCACCCTCAATAACAACAGTAATCCACTGGGTGTTTAGTCCTCAGATGCTGTCAGTGCATGAAGACTCTTGTGTTCACTCTTACATTCAACAGCAGAACATTTGTTGAGGTTTGCTAACAGCTGAGGCATTTTAGCGTTTAGCAGAAGCAGCTGTAGAAAGTAAAAACAAACCTGGTAGACTGAGAGGCAGCTGCTCGTTCTGATTGGTTCACCTGGAAGCAGTGAGGGGGCGGGGCTACACAAAGGGCTATACGAAGGTGGAACGCTAACAGCTCAGTGAAACTTTTACTGGCTTGTGAAGCCGGGAGGCCGGCTAGTTGTGAGAAGGGTAGAAATAAAAGTTTTCATAGCTTCACAGCTTTTACTTTACACCTCCAAGTTTACAGCAACCACAGAACCCAGTATAAATGGGTTTTCGCCATATTACCGTTAAGAACACAAGAGTTTAGCGCTTTCTAGGGATCGACCGATGACCGATTATTGGCAATTAGGAAAGGCAGATAACTGATATTTGGAACCAGTATGCATTAAATGTGATGTTTTAACAGCATGTGATGCCAGAGAACCTGTCATTTATAACCAGGCTTCTTCATTAATGACTACAACTGAATATGTAAAACAGAAATAGGAGTGATTCAATTATCTGCTCGTTTACGTGGCGTCGACTGAGATTTATCAGTTTGTCTGCTGCCGTTGCGTTGTCTGCTGTTCTGCTCTGTTTTGTTGATATTTCACAGTTCTATAACTTTTATTGTCCAGATATTAAAGCATTATTAGTTATTGTTCGTTTTCGGGTTAATCTGCTTGCTAACTTAGCCGCTAGCCATTAGCATAGCTTTGTCAGAGGAGCTAATTTCCAGGTTTGTAGCAGCTGATTGTGTTTCTTGTTCAGTTTTCTCTGGTTGAGAGACATTTCAGGTGCAATTAATTTATCAATAATCAGTCAATACAGACACAGATAATCTGAAAAATGATAACCGATCTATCCATAGTGCTGACGCCTCGTGACTTCAACACAAACAGCAATGCTGTTTAAAACCACAGATCCTTCAGATGCATTTTTATCTCACTGAGCCTTTAAAGTCATATTTAGTGATCCTCCAACCGGCCGTAGCGGGTTCATACGTTAAATATGCTTTAAAGTAACCTAAGCAGGGCTATTAAAAGGAGATGAAACGACGGCCGCAACGCAAGGAGGCGTCCAGAGCCGAGCGGATTCCATCGGAACGAGTCAGACCCATTTCACCGGGGTCCCGACCCATTGTCTTAAAAAACAGTTTCTCTGCACATGTGCTATCGATCTGCGGCCTTACGGGACTTTAAGAGGAGCGGCAGGTTTAGGTAGCGTAAAAACGCCGACCTCTGACCTCGCATGGGACTGCCTCGGGCTTTTAACAAGCACCAGGTGGAAGAAGCTCTGTCGGGGTTTTCATGGAAACGTGGTAGCGTTTAAAAAGGGACTTCCACCCTAAACCTGAACTCACTGAACGTGGGCAGTAGAGGAAAACCAAAGGAAGACGGCTGCAATATTTCCTAATGGTTGTGATGGAAACGCCAATTTAACATGTAAATATGTGCTTGTCTAACGGGAAAGTGAGTTTTACGTAAGATCCTTTCTGTGCACTCTCCAGCAATGATTCTTCCTTGTTGCATCCCACAAATCTATGGAATTTTTAATATTAATTTAAGTTAAAACATCTGCATTTATGTTGAGAAGGCTGCAAGTTTCTGTATTTCACATAAGCAGAAACCCCCTGATCTGAGATATTCCAGACATGAAGGCGTAGAAAGTGCATCTAGTACTTTTTACACCCACTCGATTTTCCTCCACATCGTGCACAGATGGCGAGTCCGACGCCAGACTTTGCCAGTAAAGGTGAGTTCAGGTGGGTTTACCTGGAACAGAAATAGCAGGAATTCCACTTCGGGGTGGATTGTTTCTCGGTATCGTGCAGCAGCCGCCGCCTCTGCTTCTGTAGACGGAGCCAAAATCTCCCCGATGCAGCACGACGTGTACGTTAACACGCAAAAAAAACAACAGCTGGAGTGACGCGTTAAAGCAACACAAGCTGTGCGGCCTCCCGGGACATGTGCGGATGTCCAGACAATTGATAGCAGCCGGGTTAAAGATGGACGTCGCTTTTGGGTTTTTTTTGGTTTGGTGTCTTGCGTTACAACTTCAGATCCTAAATAAGCCGCGTTAATTCTTCTGCTTCTTGCTGCACAGTTAACCAACTCAGCTTGACTGAGGAGCTTTTGGAAGCAGGTGGTTTGAATGTTTGCCGTCTCCCGTCGCTCTCCACCTTCTTATGTCAACACTATCGCCTCTTGACTAGAAGCAAAATGCCTTCGCTGGTTGCATGCTTGATCACCGTCTGTTTTCCTCGTAGTAATATTTCACTCAGTCGTTGTTGCACAGAAAGTTAATCAATACTCGCTGCGTTTGTTTGCTGCCCTTTTAGGAGAGAGCTCCGATAAATGACTCAGCATTGATTGTAAACAAGTGTTTTTTTGCTGTTTTGTTGGCTTTTTAAAAAAAAAAAAAACGGAACTTTTTTGGGGGGAAATGCAATTGAATTTCTTTTAAGTGCATCTTTAATTCTCAGTGATTCTTCCTCTTGAGATGTTTTTTTTTTTTTTCCAGCTCAGTGACACTTAAATGTGCAACCAAAGGCAAACTCAGAGATAAACAAACACTAATGTGCACTTTTACAATGTTACATCCATGCACATTTGCAGCGGGAACATGTTCAAACTGATATTTAGTTTGAGTTGAGCTGCAGAACAGGGAGCGATGCATGTTTGAAATAGAGGAAAAATAATTTTGCAGCGTTATCGCATCGAGGCCACAAACAGGAGCAAAAAAAAAAAGAACTCCAACCAGCAGCAAACACCTAAACCTGATAACAATTAGTCTCCACAAATGGGTCTCTTTAAAGCGATCCACCAGGTGTTTGGAGGTGTAAATACGCACACAAGTACATTTATATAGCAACAGCGACGCACACAGCTCTTCTTTTTATGAACCTTTTCTATGCAGTTATGTCCTGGAGGCTTTAAAAGTCAAATTCCTCAAGATAAAGTTTAAGATATACACAAAAAAAAGAGTTTTTCAGCTGATATTTAGACCAAGATTGACCTTTTCAGCACTAATAATGGCAGTTAATTCTCAGTTTTGTGTCGCTATCGTTGGTAAATCTCTTTATTGTCGTTGGTTTGGAATACGTGGCAGAAGAGCCGACTGGCAGCACATCAGCTCATCTCTGGACGCTCCACAGGGAAGCACCGACCATTTTTCAGCAGCTTTTTTGTTTTTTTCCCTCCTACAAAGCGGTCACAGGTGCTCACAATTACCTACAGTAACCGTACAGAAACGCCACTAATGGACGTAATAATGGCTTCAGCCTCCTGACCTCCGCAGTTCAGCTTTCTCGCCGAAATACTTCTCAGCTCTCGCTTTCCTTCTCTCTCTGTGTGTGTTTTAACAGCTCGAGGAACCAGGTCCAGATGCGACGCAGGGCGAGAGGGTGGCAGGAGTGAGAAGATATGGGAGGTAAATGAAGGAGAGGGGGGGAAGGGGTGAATAAAACCTGGGCGGTGTGAAGAGATGAATTCTGACAGCGGGTCAAGCGGTCGTTCCCACAGCTAACATTTGACCCCTCGGACTCGTAAACCGGATCCGACTTCAGCCTATTAGCATCAAACGTCTCAATCCGGGACTCAATCATCATTTTGTATAATACGAGAGAGCAGCGACTTTGCAAGCGTCTGTGTTTACGATCTTTGGGATTCGTTAAAGGGTTCCAGGACCTCCATAAAGTCACACCAGCAGTCGTTTTCTAATTGCAAATTCTTAAGTTTGTTCTTCACATCATGTTCCCTTCATTTTCTCAAGTTTAACACATGTGAGCGACTTGAATTTTGCTCCAAGAATGTGTGAAATTCACATTTTTGTTGAGCCTTTAAAGACGTGTCAGACTTCATAAAGCTTGAACCGGCATAATCGCTGCTGTCACAAGCTGTTACCTCGGAGGAGAGTCAGTGATGGCTTCATGCAGAACCCTGTAATCACTATCTACCGTCTCGGAGGCTAAAGCGATGGCGTAATTGAGTCCGGATCCCCCTCGATTAGTCCCAAATTCCTGAGGAAATGCCAGACACCGGTGAGACACCGTGAGGCAGAATTTTTAAGAAATAAAAGCTCACAAATCCGAGCGCTGGCCGGACGGAGTTTGCCAAGAAAGTGACGAGAGAGTTTAGCCGCTGAATAACGCGGAGCGATGTGAAAATGTTAGTTTAGGAGGTGAAGCTGCCGTGAAATGTAAAATAAACAGACAGATAGACGGAGAGATGGGAAAATTCAAGGTATTCAGTCGCTCAAACATGTTGGATTTGAGAAAAATAAGGGAATTAATGTTCCAAAGAACATGCCAACATGTCTACGTTTCTTCTTCTTAAGCAAGAAACCTCGAAGTCTTGACGCATTAGTTTCCATTCGACCGCATAAATTATGATTATTTTGACTTTTAAACCACCTGATTTTGTGGGAAACTGTTTGTTTCATGCATTTATTCTCAAATGTTTCATGACAATCCCTCTTGAATCGACGCACACCTGCTCTGGTGTGACCGTGTGGTGACCAAAACCAAGAAACTCCAGCCTTCACTTCTTCAAACTTAATGACAGTTCTTGCACATGCTTTGGTTTCATGCAAAAAGCAGAATATCAGTTCAATACTGCAAAGACAATTAGAGTAATCTCCAAAAACGCTGCCTGTAGGAACCCCAGAACATCTCATTTCGACGGTACAATCACCGGAGAAAGCTCCTGGAGCGGTTCGGCCGGTCGGGCGCACTCACCGCTTTGCTTCTGCACGCCGCCGGACCCCATCCTGATCACCTCACATATCAAGGACATCACAATGAGTCGCGAATGCATCTGGGCTGCTGGCAAGCGCCCGCTTCAGCGCCAGGCTGCGGACATCTGCAGAGGGGACTCCAGAGGGTGGCAGGTTGAAAACTTAGTTCCACGGTCGAGGCGCAGAGAGAGCAGCGAGGAAGAGGAAAGGGTTGGGAAAAAAAAAGAAGAAGAAGGGGGCAAAGACTGTGGGGGTTTAAAAAAAAAAAAAAGGATAGAGATGAAGCGGAGAAGGTAATCTTTCAGGGCCCAGAGCGGCGATGAAAACGGCGAGAGGAGAGAGGAGGCAGGGGAGGAAATCCTCTTCGCCTTTGTCCTGTTTGGCGCCGATGATTTAGGGGCTGAAGATGAGGAGGCAGGCGGCCGTGAGCAGGAGGACGGAGAGTCGAGGAGAGGCTCGTCTGCTTCCCCAGACTGGCAGATCGGAGGGAGAGCTCCACATTTAACTACCACTGTCAAATTTGCGATAAACGAGCTCCACTTATCCCGCAGCCATCTTTAACCCTTTAAAGGCTCTCGGGGGGCCTAAGTGGTTCCACATTTTGCAGCGTGATCTTTAGCCCCCTCCTCCTGGCTCTATCTATCGCTGCTCATTCTCTTTATTTTTTTTTTATTCTCCCCGTGTGTGTGTGTGTGTGTGTGCGCCTGAACTGGGCAGCATTGTTTTCTGCAGCAATCCTATTAAATGTGGGCAGTCGCTAAACTTAATTTGACCACCCGGAAAGAAAAGCAGAACAGCTGCAGAGTAGCAGAGCTGAGGGTTTGATTAAAGCATCGCCAGGGTTTTGTAAATAAAGAAGTCAGGTGAGGAGGAAGTCCCGTTGAAGACGATCGATCAGGTATTTGCAGGACGTAAACCCACTTCTATGGGTCGTTACAGTCATTTCTAGCAGTGCTTGGTCAAAATGTTTTTGCATGAGTCACTCAGTTCTCCTCTCTGGTGGGAAGAAAAAAAAAAAGCACAAACAAACAAGAAGCTTTCAGAATTACAGTCACGGTGTCGACTACTGTACACTGTAAAATAGACACATGGCAAAATAAATACTGTAAAATACAGCAAAACAGCTTTCTTATATAAAACACAGTAATTTCTATAATTAATACGCATTTTCTAGCTTAACTTTGACCCAAAATCTTGTATATTTTATGGCTTTTTAAGGTTGTAAAATGAATAAAATAACCTGTAATATATGATAATAGTAACATAACTTATATATAATGATAGATAAATAGACACACACATAAATAGATGTAGCGATAAATTATGTATATGATGAATAAGACCTTTATTTTGAAAGATTACGGAATCTTACTGATAACAACACATTTATTCAACATTTTTGTTGTGTAATCTTTTATAATATAAGATATCTCTCATTTAACAAACACATTTTTGAAAAAATTACAGCAACAATACGTCTTTTTTCTGTTAATTTTCAGTAAATCTATATAATTTAAGGAATATATTTACAGAATTGAGCTTAATTTCTAAAGTTTTATCCATTAGAATTAAAAGAAATGTAGTAAAATTTCAATAAATGTGTATTTTCATGGACAAAAAATATTGAAAATGTAAAGAAAACAAAATGAATTTGATTTAGAGTTTAGAGCAAACATAACGTCACAGGTATTTTTTTAAAAATGTAATTTATTGATAATTGTGCATTTAAAAAAAAATGGAAGGAAAAAAAAGAGGAAAGGTTCTGCAAAAAAAAAGTAATAATTCAGTGTGCATGCAAGATCAATAAAACATGAGCTGCTACATCAAAATAATGTTTTCTTTTTTATATCTGTAAGTGATTTCTTACATTAATTTCTTGAAGAATTTGTGGCGTTACATCCAGATGGGCCACAAATTAAAGGGGGAAAAAGAAAAAAGTTAATCATTGAGGTGTTCAGCAGCTCCACTGCTCCTCTGAAATCCATTCTCCAGCTCTCTGGAGCTCTGCTGGAGGGATGAAGTGTCGTCGTTCCAGAGAAATTCCTGCCTTTATTGGGTGAGCGCCGTCTGACACGTTGACCCGAAACCCGCCGCAAACATCCGTCTGGCTTGAGATCTGCCGATTGCAAAAAGGTCACGGGAAGTGATTCACGTTTCATCGAAGCGTTCGCCGTAAGGTTCGGGGTTTTTTTCCCGTTAATGTGTCGCTCGTCTCGTGTTGAAATGTTGAGTTACACGTCGAGATCCAAACTGTGAAAGTGATTCATGTCGTAGGATGTGGAATCCAAGAGCAGCAGAATAATTCATCCCTGACTCATAGGAGTGACATCGATTAACTACTAATTTGTTTTTCTGGCATTTTATAAATTGTAATGAAGCATAAAAGCTGCGTAGGAAGCTTCACGTTTACGTTTGCACATAAGATGGAAGCGATTTAACCAACATGAGAACATCAGTTAAACTTTATAAAACTCTTCTTGCTCAATATCTGTTTTGTCCTTTAAGTCACTTTTATCTGAGAGCCGTGGCTGCAAAACAAAAGGTTTTTATCACACTTTAGTTTTCAGATTTTGTGAATAAAATGCTTTGTTTGATTAATTTCAGAAAAACTTCACCAAAAGCTTCATTTTCATCTTTAGCTTCTGAGTTTCTAAACGTTCTCGGTTCAGAATAGCAGGCGTTACAGAATAAATGCACCAAACTAACCACTAAGGAACCAGCTCGTTGCCAGTTTTCCGAAGCCTTAATAGAAAATAAAAATTCAGTTTTGACATTTTGCATTTCCTCATTATATCGATCATTTAAAAATAAAAAAGAGAAGCTAATCAGCGCTAAATAAACATCATTTTCTGCGAGCGGCACAACTCCAAAGGAAACATTATTATGAAAGCGATTTGCTTTCCGACTGGATTATTCGATTCTGTCTGATGTGGACCGGAGGGATTGTTGAATATAAGCCCAATAAAGCGGCCTTTTGTTATTTGAAAGCCGGTATCTGAGCGCGCCGAGCCAGAAGCGAACCGTGCGGTCGCGGCGCTGCGGCTTCGGCTTTGACTCACGATCCCGGGTTGCATGTCATCCTCTCTTGTTTGTTCTCTCCTCATTTGGAGCGACTTTAATGTTCGATGTCACGTCTCTATTTGGGCTAATTTTCCTCTGAGCTGATTTACTGACTGACTCACTGCAGCCTTCGTTACCAGATCAAAGATGCAGTTTTATGTAGCAGAGAAAATCCCTTGTTTTGTTTTTTTTTGCACACTCTAAAAAGTAAAAAAAAAAAAGTGGAAGAACCCCAGATTGATCAGTTTGTGGGTTAAATGCAAAAGCTGTTAATAGTAATAAACCACACTATTACTGCTGCACTGTTCTCTGAAGCTTTAAAACTGTTGCATGCTTTACACGACTTTTTTTTTTATTGTTTCCAGCAGTCAGGGTGGCCTCAGGAACCCATAAATGAAAAGGTCACGGGTTTGATCCACGAAGCGGCTAATGGATCCTTATCTGAGGAAACCAAATCCTCGTTAAAGCGAGCGGCCAGCTCAGTGAAAACATCAACCGAACCTGCGATCAAGACGTCAGAAAGATTTACAGAAAGTCAAACGATGCTACTCTTTGTCAGGTCTTCGTCGATTGAAACCTGCAGCGGCGTGAACGTGCCCCCCGCCCCTCCACCCGGAGGCTGACATGTTTTGGCAGTCGGCGATCCGCTTTGGCCAAACAGTTTTTCATGGTGCTCATGTGAGGACTTCACAGCGGCAGCGTTCTCCGCTGGTAGCCGAACGTCACAACGGTTTCCTTTTGAAGGCCGCCGAAAAACTGCGAAAACAAAAACTCTTCCTGTTGTTTTTTTTTTTTGTTTTTCATTACTTCCAACGCAGACGACGACTCTATCGAGGTACAAGGTTTTAATTTGTCCCCCTTCCCCACACGTTTAGCAGTAATGGAATCCCTCCAGTGACTGTCAGGCTTCCACATTAAGCCTGGTTGTAATTTTTATTTAGATGTTTTGCGGCCGCAGTCTTTTTAAGGGGTTGGACAGAGTAAACTGTGGCCTGCGGTGAAATTAGAGCGAGAGAGACATTAAAGAAAAGAAAAGAAAAGAAAAGAAAGAAAGCTCTTGTTGGTGTCTGAAGCTGGCTGCCTCCAGTCTGCTCCGCTGACGGGAAGTTCAGGGTTTCTGCTCTCAGATTTAACGTGTTGAAAAGGAGATTTAGTGCTTTTTTCTCCAACGTAAAGCACATTCAGACACTGTTCAGGCCCTCGTTTGCTTTTCTCACACAATGCTGTGTCTCAAACTGTTTAAATACGAATCAGAAGCTTCCATTTTGACAAAATCTGGATTTAAATACATTTTTTGCAAATTGATTAAAAAGGAAAAACTTGAAATATCGCTTAAATACTGCAAGTCTACTTCAGAAACTTTGCTCAGGTGCCTCCTGTTTGTCTTGACAATCTTCGTAGATGTTTCTGCACCTCGACTTGAGTCCACCTGTGGTGAATAAAAACTGATTGGACGTGATTTGGAACAGCAATGAAATACCTGTTGGTGTGCTTTAAATAGATGCTCCAGATTTGGAGGATTTTAGGAAAGTGCGAAAGGAGTCTTTTTTTTTTTAACTCCGATAACACGTAACAAGTGGAGAAAGCAGGTGGTTTTCCTGCACTTACTCATTTAGATGACGGCCTCTAATTGCCTAAAAACCACGACGATGCAACTTTAATGACGTTTTTTTAGCTTTAGCGCAGAAACAAGTCAACTTTTTTAGCCAAACAGGAACCGCTGATGCGTTACAATCACATTTACAGGATTGTTTGAATAAAAAAAAGCTAAAACAAATCTGACTTCACCTCAATTTAAAGTCCAAATTTCTCACTGAAATGCAAATTTAACATTACAGCCACTCTTATTGCTCGCAATTGCAAAAAAACCCACATTTTTTTGTCATCTTGGCGTATCCACGAGGGCTCACACAGATGATTACAGATAATATCTTCATTCATTAATAGAGTTTTAATATAGAAATTATGCGTAACGGCCTGTTTACGCGTCAAAACGGATCGAAGTCAATTTAATGCTTTTTGTTTTTTTAAGTCTGACCTGTTCTTCATGAACTCCTGAGATAAATTTGCTTCTCTTAAGCTGCCAAATACCCCATCATATCCACCAGCTAGCTGCTAACTTTGACTGCATTTTGGTTTATCACAGCTGCTCACGCTAAAGATTGAGAGATGACACTGTTTAGAGCAACGAGAGGGACATAAAGCGTGAAGGTTATGGGATCAAAAAGCAAAAAGTTAAAAGATGCTGAAAAACCACATGAATATAAAAATAAAGTAATTAGAGGAGCTTTAAGTGGCACGGTGGTGAGAAAGACCCAAAAAACAACCTGCTGGGATTTAGTTATGAAATAACATTCAGCTTATTTTGCATCGAGGGGTGACGTCAACTAATATGTTATCAGCATA